AACCCTGGTCCCAGAGATGGGAGACAACAGTGCAAATAATTGTGCCACAATGCCACCATCTGTACTTTGATATAACTCATATTTTCTCATACAGCAGCTGCACATATCATAATACAAGACATGCTACATGAGTAGGGGGTGTATTCCTGTGATGTTCTGATTGTTTCCCACCTCAACCAAATCATATGTAGGGATACGAACACTGCGCTTAGGGGAACAAGCTGCTCACTTTCGCTAATGACTCGTCTTCTCTTTGGCTCGAGTCCCCCCTTTCCCTGCGTGTTCACCAGGCACTGACTGACAGCCTACCGTAGATCTTTTAAAAATATATACATGAAAAGGTCGCGGAAGAGTGAGGCGTGTGGCTATGGAGATTTAGCCGAGCTGCCTGGTGCAATAAATCAATGAAAATCTCATTTTGATCGTCCCGCGTGGACAGGCCGCATCGCCACTGCCTCCTGCGATGCAGTGCATTAAAAAAGACATTAGCGCCTTTTCTCTTATATTTCCAGATTAGCTTCGCATGTGTTTGTTGCCTATTGCCGCGATTACCGTGCCCTTTGTGTTAATGAATATTAATGCCAGCAACCGCCTGCCATTCTCACCGCGGACTGGGGGCTTTTGCGACTGCTCTGCTCCTGAATATTATTACTTTGCAGTTTGCAGGGAGATTATAGTGGCGCCATTCATTTCCCACCAGATAAGAGCGACAGTGATGTAAACCTGAGACACTGAAGTCAAGGTGCAGCTCGAAGAAGCAGGCAGCTATTTAACAGTTTATTGATTTTCCGGTGAGGAAATTTCTCCTCCACCTCCTGCTGAGATCTTTAAGTTAACTTTGTGAAGTCCGCCCCCCCACACACACTTTTTGTTAAAACTCTAGAATCCACAAATTATCATACTAGGAAACTGTTTATCTGTGATATACACATCTTATTTTAATTACAATTTTCCTGCAATAATCTGTCAAATAAGAATTATCCGTATTATTCATACTGTTACGTTTAGACCAAAAAAAAAAACAAGTTCAATAGACATTTCCCGATTTCACAGTGAGATAGCTGAGATAATATATGGAAGGAAAACGCTGTTTTAAAAAAGTACAAAACAGCCGCACTCACCAGGCAGTAACGAGGTTTTTAAAGCGCTATTGAGTTGTCGGGAGGCTATACCCGCTGAAGCAGTGCGTGATTTATAAGCTACAAGCCCACACATTCATAAAGGAGCGATATAGCGCTTATTAAGATATAATAAACAGTGAGCAGACAGCAGCAGTGACATTAGCATTTATATGCGTTTTATATTGCTTTTAAGGGCACGATGTATTGCTTATAAAACTATTAAAGTTTGCAGGAGCCGCTTCCTACAGCACTATAATTTTATTTACAGGTAGTTTTCCTTCTTGACTTATACATTTAAAGTATATTTAGGCACAGTAAAGACATACTACATGAAATTAAAATAATCACTGCTGAGATCGTGGCTAAAAACGAGCACCGTCCATGCAAGATGTTGGTTATAAAATGAAACATCATGTGCGGAAAATTTAACCTAACAAAGCTGAAATGACGGACATTGTGAACAATCAACAGTGCAGGTGTTATGCCGAAAAAGGCATCCCTGCCGTAGAATGTATGCCTGTCTCTAAATGACCGATTGGTCGCTGATCTGAAACGAGTTGAGCTACTTTGTCGAGTAAGGCTACCGTAGTGCTAATCAATAGCCCCAAAAAACCCCCGTAAAACTCTAACCCTAACCCCCAAAAAACCCAAAAAACCGCCTCTAAAACCCTAACCCCCAAACCCCCCTAAAACCCTAACCCCAACCCCCAAAACACCCCTAAAACCCTAACCCTAACCCCTAAAAAACCCCTGACCCCCAAAAAACCCTTAAAAGTTCAACTCGTCGGAACACCGGCATGCATTCTAAGGCAGGCATGCATGCATTCTACGGCAGGGATGCGTTTTTCGGCATAACACCTGTTTTATCGAAGTACTGTATCGCGAAAGCAGTGAGGAACGAAGAGCCTTAATTATTCGCCCACACGGAACACATGCAGTCTTATGGTCCTGAACAAGATCGTAATAAGTATCCAAGGAATACCCAAATAAACGTAATATGGAAACACATGGAGGTCAGACACCTAACTGTAAGGTATACTGTACATGCACGGTGGGAGACTTATACGAAGGTACGGATATTCGAGGATAGGACGGGGTTCATATAAGACCATTTTACCATGTTAGTTCAGTCACGACCCTATATTAAGGATTGGTTTAAATTAACTGTATGATTAAGCATGTAGCACACTCTGCAATTTACGCCAATCAATTCTTATCGCACAAATCTGACTGGATGTGCCAGTGAATTTTAAAATAAGCATCTATGGTTTGGCTTTTTGGATTGGTTGAGTGTTAACTAGTCTTTGCAGACCCTAGACCCGTTTATAGCCTATACGTTAATTCTAGGACTGGAGCTGGGTAACATGATCCTGGATCAGCGTATAGGAGCTTGCTGGTTTTAAAATGCTTACATTTCCAACTCTGCCTCGTGACCCTGTCACATCTTGCCCACCAAAACGGGCTGAGATGTGCTGATTTACATCCTGACTGATGGATTTGTATCTCACAAGCCAAATAATACAGCACAATTTCATTATAATACGACCTTGTGCGATTTACAGAAAATGGCCACCTATCACACTTATCACAGACTTAAAGCAGGGCAACCAGGGGAGTTTCTAGCTATTGAAAAGATCAGGGGCTAAGTCAAGTTTACCTGGGGCTTGCCGTTTTGTTTGAAGGAGGATAATTTGAATACTTGAGTGACCGGACGACGCCCCTGAGGGCAGCTGTGATACTGGTACAGTTAGGCCTATACACATATTGTACAATCGTCATATAGTACCATAAATGCGCTCCTTGGTGTAACTTGTACATGGAGAAGGAAGGTCACTGCGATTATCTCGATTTCCGGTGAAAGAGTATCTTTCGCCTTTGTTGTCATGTACCAAATGGGAGACACTGGCATACAAACAGCACACGTGTCATTTCAGCAATTCTAGCGCCGGACTCCGCGCTGTCACTGCATCAAGACACGTACGGCGTTATGCCCGCATCTCTTTGAAATTCATCAACACATATATAAACCTCCGGATACGGTGTTTATGCAAACAAAGTAAATTTATAATTAAACGCCTGGGCGATCTTCTGAGTGGTGTTTCAGAAAGGAAGTGTTTCATAATTGCTCCCTGATTACGATACAGCAACGCATCATCTTCGGACTGAATAACATGAACAATTACGGTTTCACCTACAAAGCGAGTTTATGTAGGCTACCTGTAGCGATCGATCTGAGACGATTCCAAACTTATATTACTCCTTAAGTGTGAACAGCCCGTCTGCTTCTCTCTCGTTAACTCTGTGGCAGCGTCTAATCTGTTGTGTTTTCCATCGCTCTTAATTAGTTTTTAAATGTTACACACAGATGTAACGTGCCGTGGTCCAAAACGCGATTCTTCACTAGTGATATACGATTCCTGAAGGAATCATTCTTTTTTAACGTTCTTTTCAATGAATCGATTGAACCGGTATTCAAATATGAAATAATCGAACTTTGTAGATCCACGCGTGATACAGGTAGCCTACAGGTCTTAGATTCTTAAAAAAAAAATGAAAAAATTGAACTTTTTTGGAGAACTGCTTAGTAAATGTGCCAATTCCAATAATTTTTTCGAACTGCGTTTGTTGTATTCTGTATGTTGTGACTTTGGTGTTGGTTTTTATCCCTTAATTAAAGCATTTTAGATTATATGTTTGCAAAATGTAGCCTACTCAATATTTTATCAAGTTCCTGAGGCTAACTGATCGTTTATATCTAAAACGCTAAAGCCTGTTTCTGTGATTGGTTTTCATTTTAATTACACCGCAACTGATTGATATTCATTTACAAGACTCGGAGATGACCACTATAAAAATAAATATATAAAATATAAATGAACAGTTCGATAAAATCGGTTCTATAAACTTAACCAGACTTCCCATAATTATTCTTCTCCATCCCCCTTCAGTTAAAAGCCCTTAAAGAAAACGGCCAATGGAAGCTGCGAGATTATGACCAGTGTTACTGATCATCGTGAGGGTCATGTGATTACGCATAACTCATTTTCTCACTGCCTTTTGATTGTGTTGTGAGAATGACCCATCACCTGTTTGACAATCTAACTGTACAGGCTATTTCCCCGCTTTGCAAATGAGTTCCTCACATGTGCACTCACAGATTACATTAGGCATCTTGTTGCGATGTAACCCAGGAATAGATGATGTATTTTACAAGCAAGAAAAGTGGCCTTATCTTCGAAAAACTGCATCCATAAATCGTGTATTTATCCTTAATAACCCGGTGTATTTATACTGGTGGGGAACAGAGATAAAATAGGTATATATCATTGTGGAACTGCATCAGACGCACAAACACATTTTTCACTATCCATCTGCAGTAACAAGCTGTCTGCCCTGATCCCAGCTCTTAGGGTAATGTGATATAAAGATTTCAGGATAATTTTCAGCCTTGCAAAAAACGAAGCAGCAGAATCTTGAGTGTGAATATGAGCAGGGTCTGGCTGGCCATGTGCTTGGTGTGTTTCTGTGCTCTCCTGCGGTATAAATACTGCACCTTCCCATCCTCTCGCTTGCTGCTGTTTCAGGAGTCAGAAAGCAGGCTCTTCTTTGAGCCTCAGCCCCTCCTGACTGCGGAAACAGCTTCAAGGAAAGACTCCGAGCCTGGTGCTCATTCTGCGGCCACATGCAGCCGACATAACAGGCAGAGGCTAATGAAACACCTCCCACACGACTCAGAACAGACCGCAGGACCCTCAGATGGAGACGCCGATGAAGAGCTGTGATGGGGAAGGTTCAGAAACACAAACCTCAACATCTCATTCCGAAACAAAGGGTGACGGGGTTGGGGACAGGGGACAAGGGCGAGCGACGTCACTGGAATTCTGCTCAAAGCCTGGGGCATCTGCTAGGAGCTCAGAACTGCAAGGGACACAAGACGGCGGCACCCTGGACAGGACAGGGAAGAAAATACCAGCCAAAGTGAGCCTTTAAGCCAGTTTATTAAATACTAAAAAATGTAAGATATACTGTATATATTGTAACTGTTTGTTAAAACATTTATAAGCCCTAGACATTTCTGTGAGTTATGCTTTGTAGACTACAGCAAAATGCATACTTACATGTCTGTAAGACTATAAAATGGGTTAGAAAACAGCAGAGTAGATAAAAACAGTCTGGGCATGATGCCCAGCATCAAGGCTGAACTCACTGGGTGTAGAGTGTGATTTACTACGATTTAGTGGCAAGAAGTGAGTTTATAGCTTATTTTCTTTAGCAAAGATCATCGTGCAGCCTTAGAAAAGGACCCAGATCCTGTGGTTTGTTTCAAAGCATTGGATCTACTGGACTCGTCTGCATTTAGTGAGTTTTATATTAACGATAATAACACTCATTCATAAAAAGAGAGCCAAATGCAATCTGAGTGGGGTTCCTTTATATCCCAAAATCTGATAGTCAGAAGTAGTGATTTAAAGGCCAGAAGTAAAAGTGAAATTGTTGAATGGATGCAGGAAGTTCCCATCATCCCATATTAGGCTGACACTGCCGAAACTCGGCCAGGATTGGTTGTCCCAGGAATTAAGAGGAAATCCAACCATTTGCCCCGGCGTGGTGAGGATTCAAGTTAATCCATGACTCGGGGCAGATTTCAGAGATGCAAAAGCAGAGAAATAAAAGTGAAACAGAAACGTGCAGTACAATGTACCTGCCCACAGGGCGTCATGGCCTCTGTGGTGCATTATGGGTAGGCATCATTGCCCAGCACCCCCGAGCCAGCGCATAATGGATTTTTAAAAGCTGCCGCTGCATCGGAAATGTTACTCCTGACCCAGCATGCCGCCATGTAAATAAAACTATTATTCCCATTTTCAGGTGCTCTGCTCTGAATTATACTCACCGACTTGACAATAATTACACGTGCGTGTGTGTGTGGGATAATGGCCTGTGGGGTTTTGAGCGCTGGAACACATCAGCAGGCAGTGGAATTATTTGAAAGTGTTAGAAGTGTTCTTGTGTGCTTATTGAAGGTCAGAATTTTTGTTTGGGCCAGACAGTTCTGCAGGGCTAACTGGGGGACTCAGGCCAGATCACCATGACTGAAACATACAGAAGATCAACACTGAGGCAGCCAATCAGGCCATCCGAGTGACACGCCTTTGCACAGATGTCACACTGACAGGTGATGGTCCTTGAGGGGTGGCACTTGTCCAGACGTCACCCTCAAACCTGCGGGGGCCCACAGCTGCTGTCAGGTGAGTCTGAGAATGAGGCGGAGGGTGACAGATGTCTGACAGATGTACTCATTCACACCGGTGAAAAGAGGCGACAGGTAGCAGGCTGTCACATGGTGCGTGCCTAATGTCATTTGTGACAGGACTGCATGTTACACTGCGCCTCAGATCAGGTGACTCCTGCACTGATGGCAGGTCCTCATCATAATCCATCTTACACTGTCTCCCCTCCACCTTCCTGTACTCCAGTTATCTTCTGCACATAGATGTTTGCAGCCATGTCAATAATCTTAACTTGCCTGGTAGCGGAGCTGGTTCCTGGCCCTATATGTTCTCACCTTCTTTCGTAGGATGAAAAAGGCATTTTTAATCTGTCACCGGAAATGGCTCCGGTTCCCTGCTGGCCCCGGTTCTCCTGGTCCCGGGAATGCTCGTCCCAGACAGCGCTGGGATCTCCGCTTGTCTCAGATATGACAGTGAAGGCGGCAGCTCCGTGCCTGTCAGTCTGCTGGCGATGTGAGCGATTACCGGCGATGTCATCGGCAGCTGTGCTCGTCCTCAGGGCCGGCGGTCCTGCCTCAGGAACATCATTATTTTGAATTAATCGTCCTTTTAGACAGTCAGGTAAATGTAGCCAGTTTATTAAGATTCTTCTGATAAAACCTCTCTTCCCCCGATGTGGCACTTTAACATGAAACCGTCTGTCAGATAATGTGTATCCTGGTGTGATGTTGAGGGGAATCTGCGATGCTCTGTCCCAGAAGTGTGCAAACTGGGGGGCGCGATGGAATTACAGGTGGAGCACAGGAGAGGGAAAAAACAGAAGTGGGGGTGGGGTTTGAGCTGGGGACAGAACACATTATGTGCCTGAACACATTACATGAAGCTAACTAATTAAAATTATTAAAATGTGTAAAATAGACAGGCACCACATATTGAATACACTGAACTGTTGCGACTAGTGACAAAATGATACAATGGGAAAGGTGCTCAGTTAATGCTTATGTAGTTGGAGGAACAATGGAGAAATTTGTAGCTGCTAGTGTTAAAACGTGATGACAAAGCAACACGTGAAATGAGTAGAAACAGAAAATATGACACTGCATATCTGGAATACCGTTCTGTGTGTCTGTGTGTGTGAGGGGGTGGAGAGGGGTCAGGACGAATATGTCCAACCTGTCTTTTCCTGGGAACCAGGTGTAAAGCCTCCAGCCAATCAGAATCAGTACTAACGACCTGGGGGAACTGAAAATATGGACTGGATTTGAAATCGAGGGCCAGAATTGAAGAGCCCTGATCTAGAGCATTCTGTCCAAAAATGAAATTAAAATGAAATGAAATTGTCCATTTGTTTGTCTTCAGGTGAAAAGTTGAAGTGTGTAACTGACTCATTTGCAGAATAAGAGAAATGGCTTCAGACGACCAGCCTTTTTGTTCCTCTTTTGTCACCTGCTTGATAATGTTCCAGAAAGGTGTTAAATACAACAGCATCAACTGTCCTTATGTTTGTTAGCTAGTGACAGAGATATTCAGTGAGAGTCCCAGGTGGAAGATTGTCAATCAGCACATGAAATATGAAATAATAATCTCTCCATCGCATGTGTGTATAAAACATTCAGCGCTTTGTACATCAGTGCCTCTGGCTCCTTTCATTTTGTAGCACTCCTCCGCCATGATCAAACGCATTTTCCCTGCGCTTAAGTCCCCGGACCCGAAAGGGGACATCATTTTTTTCTTGATGTGAGATTTTGACTTTTTTAAATGCCATGGCAGAAAATCGTGCAGGGCTGACAGTACAGTATGCATTTTTCCTTTTATCTGTGTAAATGTTAAATGAATTTCAGACTTGAATAAACTGCACTGGCGAATCCTCCTTTTTAATTACAGGCAGATATGGTTTATATGAGTCAGGTGAATAGTTTCCTTAGCAGACTGATGATCCAGCTTTTTTATCTCTCACATTAGTGAAATGGGGGGGGGGGTGCCAGCAGTGCAGAGATGGGCCAGATACACCCGGTACAATAAACATTAAGTATAAACACCAGCCATTGATGTGCTAATTACACAGGACCAAATTTAATTTGATTCGCTAACAATGTTAGTCATTCATTCTCCTGCCCCTCAACATATCTCCTTACCATCACACATTTCCTAGAGATGTGAGCGAGCAGTGCCCCCCCCCCCCCCACACACACACACACATAGACACACCCACCCAAATTATCCATAAGGGCCTAATATATGAATAATATATTAATCTGTTAGATGCATTTCTGGACTTCATGAGCCAGCAATAAGCTCTGTTTCTTTCTGATGCAACGTCATGTGTGCTGTTGCCCAGTAGCACTTAATACCCATACACTCCCCCCCCCCACAGGGGGCACCATATCTATAGCAATAATCCATCGATTTATTTCTAGTGTATTCACTAACTGTTATGAGTGAGCTGATCACCAAGGCATCTATCAGACGATCAGAAACAGCCTGGAAGCTGGAATGACCTCCGATTCCCCAGCCAAAGTTTCCCAAACAGAGCTTCCCCAGCGCAACCCGTGGAGACAACGCGGTTCTGCACCCCCTCCAACCTGCATGCTGTTTAATAACTGCGTGTCCAAACTATTTCAGCAAACATTGAGTTAATCCTAGGCGTGTGCTCCCCTATGATACCATGTCAGAGATTCTCACAAAACACCCACATATCTAAAAGGCTTTCCTCCGTACTGCTCCTGTGGGGCCCCACTAGAGGGGTACTCATCAAATTACTTCAGGTAAATGCCCAGTTATCATTTTCCCTCACACTTTTATCAAATGTGTCTTGCTGGCAGTATTAGAAGAACAATGCTCTTAGACCAGTATCTTTTGTTCCTGTCCACCGAGGCTTTAAATGTAATCTTCCTTCAGTATTTCAGAATGATTTCCTGCTGTACTCTAGCCCTGTATTAAGTGCTTTTTTTGAGTTCTCATCTTGTGGTAAGTCCCACATTTCAGTCGGCTGTATTAAAGTGCATCAGAGAGAGGCTCACCTCCCAGTTGAACAAAATGCTGTTTTCATGGACGATCGTATCCTTTATCATATCAAGACATTTTCACCACGTCGAAGATGAATTTATAAAGCAGGCAGACACACATAAGGCAGAACTTTATAGTGATAACATGAGAAATGTAACTCTGTTGACCTTGAGGTCAAAGTTCAGATATGCTCCTTGCTTAACATCCCCTTTCCAGTTAAAGCTCATTTGTCTATTTGCTCCAGCACCTTCTGGCATCATGGATGGATGGATGGATGGATGGATGGAGAATGGACAGATGGATGGACGGACAGACAGACATTAGCGATCCTGAAGGAGGTTGCAGGTGTACAGTAGCACAAACACACATAAAGTCGGTAATAAAGCAGTAACAATAAACCATAAATGATAATAATAATCTGCAGACACTCTCGCATCCCACTTCCCCTTCTGCACCTTTCTCAGATGTTGCTAAAATCCACGTCTTCCACTATCTCGTCTCCACAGGACTCCTGGCTCCCTCACTTTGTGCTAAAAGTGATTCCTCTCCACACCCTTCAGTAGCTGTGGATGGACAGAGTCAGACTCCTAAGCACAATCAGCTGGTCATTTCTTTTTCATTAACAGAAACTTCACACTCTTGGGTTTTTAAGATCTGGCAGTGTGTCGTGCTCAAGCAGCCAAATTCATTTCATGTGTGGTTTTCATTAAGGTTCATATGTACAAGTAGATTTACTCTATTTGAGGACAGACAACACAGAATCGTAAGCTTCACGCTAGCAATTTTAATTCTGCCTTCCTGAACCTTTCATATTCATATTGTCATATTCTTGGCTAGAGCACATGGTGTCTGTGTTAACATTGTGCATTTTTCTCAATGGCTACACATTTATTGACAACCAGCAAGTAGCTGAAAGTAAATAACACAAAGGGTCCATCCGCACAATTGCTCCTTCTGGAAAGAAGATGATTTCGGAATTGACAAAAATCCAGATTTATACTGTTTTAAGTTCTCTGCTCAGTCTTGGGACAAAATTGGATATTTGCGCAGCATTAAATCAGTGAACTGTGTGGAATATCTGAACCGTGATATATTGTCTGTAGCTCTGTTGAGGAGTTTCTTACAGTATACTGAAATGAAGTAAAGCCCTGGTAAATTAGGAGAATATACAATACTGGGCCGTCCCAGTGTCTCCTTGATAAAGTGTTTTCCCTGCCTGTAGCTCAGCTGTACTGGGCCCCAGCCAGACCCCGTCGTGCAAGCAGCCCCATTCTGTTGGAGGTCACTTCACTAGCGGCTGTAATTAGCTTTGGAGACGCCTGTCACTCCCTTTCATCACTTCCTGCTGTTTGCGTTTTCTCAGCCTGTGTTTAAACAGCTGCTCTGTCCCCGGAGCCGCAGAAGCGGGACCCAGAACCCCCCTCCCGACAGCCCCCCCGTCACCTAAAAACCCCCCCAATCTGCCCCCAACTTGCTATCAGTACGGCTCGTGACCGGCAGCGGCAGCAGCTAACGAATTAGCACTGTGCCAGATAAAGTGGGGTTTAGTGAATGTGCTTATCTTAATAATACTCTGGCATATTACTGAAGAGAATATATATTTATGATCATTGTTTGCTGGTGTTTGCTTGCTGGCATCATGACCTTGGCTGTTGCATGTGTAAATAGCTCTGTGTGTGTGTGTGTGTGTGTGTGTGTCTGTGTGTGTGTGTGAGTCTGAAAGCCTGCTGGAAGTCAATGAGCTCTCTTGTTTACACTCCTGTTCACTGTCTGTCGGCCATAATCAGTCTTTCATGAACGTAGCTGCTCGACGGGCCGCACTGAGAGGGAGGGGCTGACGCTCTCTTCAGACGGCCGGCATCTGCGGGCTCCTAAGTATTCAGCGAGGGACATTATCAGCGCCATGTCCTTGTCACATCGCTGGTGCACATTGTCTGCCGTTCTTTCGGGCGGCACTCAAAGTCACCACAGTTAAATGGGAGCAGAGCCTTGCAACAGCCAGGCTGCCATTTTGGCTCATGGCGGTTCCCGTCACACGGGATGCGGCAACAGGTGCAGTCAGCGCACTCTGAGTCGCATTTCTAACGACCTCTGCGCCCTGCTGCGCCTTGGTCCTGCGTCTGCTTCTGTTGCTATGAGGTGCTTCAATGTTTAGCATTAAAGCTCCCAAACACACAGGGACTTCCCCGGAGGGGGGGCATGGGGGGGAGCCATGGATCATCCCTGCTCTGGGACACTTTTTGGACCTGCCTCCCACACACAGCCTTCTGTACCAACCCTGAGCACCACAGATCCAGCGAGAGCCCAGAACTCACACCAGTGTAATGTCAGTCAGTAGGCTGGACAAAATCACAATTGTTTGTTTATTAGACCAGTGTGAACATCCATCCATCCATCCATCCATTTTTCATAATTGTTCACCCAGGACACGGTCAAATTTGGAGAAATAAAATTAAATAATAAATACAACAAGCAGGATTAGTAGGTGACAGTCTTCTGGAGAATATGGGAGAACATACATGGTTGTACATTTCTGTTGTTTAACTATGACCCTGCCCAGGTTTAAAATGAGTGATTTATTAAATTCCTCTGGCTTGTGCTTAAATCTACATCTGTGCTGTTTTTAAGAGTGGGCCAATTATCAGCAGCCCCATAATGTCTGCCGGCTGGCCTTACTCCACTGAGTTCATTTTCATATGTTAGCATCAGATTCCTTGTGAATCGCCTCTCGAATCCCCGTTTCGTAGACAGCACAGCCGGGTACATTAATTATTTAGTGCCTGGAAAGAGACGGTCGCTGTGAACGCCTGTTTTATGGTACATTAGCGAGCAGATGCAGTTTATTTACACACACAAGCCAAGAGGTGCTCCTCCAGCCTGGCCATGAATTCTGTTGGCATGTGCAGCAAACCGCCTATAGCGGGAGAAAATGGTAAAAAGTGACACTCTGTATGGAAAAGCAGGTTCCTGGCTTGTCATGGATGAGTGACAACATTACCTGACTCCGGGGATCAGAACCTGACTGGTGATATTTCCATGATGCTGGAGAAACAAACATATAAAATCTCCATCTGACTGACTGATCAGCCCAGGTCACAAAGCCTGCGTAAATAAAACTCAGTGCTAAGAAATGAAATACACAAACACCCATATAACCCCCCCCCCCCCCATCGTCTCCAAAGGGGGGCAATCAGAGGACTGCTCAGCATTTCCCAGCATTCCTGCTAAATGCACACATTACGTTATTTTGGGGGAAACTCATCCTGCGTGATGTTCTGAGAGCCTGAGGGAATGTCCAGCATCAGAGTGTGCAATGGGAAGAAAGCAAGTGGAGGAGGGAGAGTGTCTATGTGACCCTGGATGGATGGATGGATGGATGGATGGATGGAGTATTTATGGGACCCTGGGTGGATGTATAGATAGATGGATGGATGGAAGGATGGATGGATGGAGTATCTATGGGATCCTGGGTGGATGGATGGATAGATGGATGTATGGATGGAAGGATGGATGGATGGAGTATCTATGGGATCCTGGGTGGATGAATGGATGGATGGGTGGAATGTCTATGAGACCCTGGGTGCATGGATGGATGGATGGATGGATGGATGAGACCCAGAGCAGGATAAGCATTAAGAAGATGGATGAATGGATGGAGTGTCTATGTCCATTTACATCTGTCTGCAGGGACTTACTGAGCTCCGCAAGTCAAAATAGCTATAACAGCTACA